CGTATTTGTTGATACATTACCGCCAGAGGCGGATATGCGTGGGATAAGGCGATGTGTGCATTTTTAGGGTCGACCATTTCTAACCCCACCCCTCCTTGTGGGAAGGCAGCATCGCTATCATGCTGGTTGTCTGAAGGAAACACCTTACTGCTGTCACATCTCCGTACAGTCATCAGTACGACTTCGCCCTCGGACCTTGTGTTTACTGCTTTTAGTCTTACCACTCTTCAAACGACCTGTCTGGCATGGTAGGACCTTGAGGAACGATTGTTCCAGCCAGTATAGCTCGATTGGTTCATCACGATAGGCAAACCCGACCACCACGTCAAGGTAGCAGCAACGGTCGGGTTTAGAAGCTCTAAGTGATTTGGAGCGATATTGGTGATGACAGTATAAACGGATTGATTTTTGATCTTACTCTAACACCGTATTATTCCATACTTTTCATTCTCAGATCTTTTTTCTTTCATCGTTATTTCATATATTTTTTTCGTTTAGTAATGTGATATTATTACTGTCACTTCTACACCGTTCATAATATTGATTGACACTAATTTTTAGCAAATTAAACGGATTAACATATATACTATGTCCTGCATTGTTTATATTTGTTTCACTTAAAACACCATTTGCAAGATAATTTCACTATTTAATAAGCATTAAATGCATTGATTACCGAAAGTGACTGGTAATATTATAGTTTGTGCCTCTATCTGTGACATTTTTATTCTTGGTTTTTCTAAAGCTGTTATGAGCTTGAGTGGTATTGGACATTATAAGATGGTAGCTCCCGAATGCCCTGGTACGGCCGAGAGTGGGGTGAGTCCGCTCTCCCTCTCGAAATACTCTCACACGGCCACGCGTATACAGCCTCTGCCAAGGAAGTCCTACTCATTGCCTTCTCGTGGCGGGGGTGTTGTTTACGAAAATGAGAGGACGAAAAGCGAATGTCCGGCGCTTCAACCGGATTCCAAATCAATGGTGCACATGGGCTCCAGTATCCTGCGGGAACAAATGGCGTATGAACCAATCGTTGGTCACCGGCTTCCATGGGATTGCATCTCCTTACGATGCTCCACTGCCTTGTGGGTTAGACCTTTAGGTCAAAGGCTTGGGGAGTGGCCCCCTAAGATAACCACCTGCTTCGGTTTGGGCACCCGGGCAGTATCACAGCCCACACACAAATTGATGAACTCTTTATGCCTATGGAAATTACCTTTCTCGCTTTGAAAAACAAACAATTGATTCAGATTATTATCATTACAATTATTGTCATTATTAATACTATTATTATTATTACTACTATTATTGTCATTATTATTATTATTATTATTATTATTATTATTATTATTATTATTATTATTATTATTTTCCACATTATTCACCCTCTTTTATACTTATACAGCGGCTCGTCTATGGTGGAAATTTGACTCTATCTAAACGTTCCCGGGTCACTGTCCGGTTGAAAATTGTATGTTACCACCGAATATGAGTACTGGAGCAGTTTTTCTGAAACCACGTGCACCATTCAAACTGGCTGCCTTCAACGTTCTCACACTTATTCAGGTTGGACAACAGATAGAGCTGGCTATGTCTTTGGAAAGTCTTAATATTGATGTTTGTTGTCTATCCGAGACCCGTATTCAAGACTCTGGCGAAGTGCTACAAATTTGCTCTCCAGCTGCCGCTGGCGTGGTTGTGTATAAGACTGTCGCTCCTTTTGGAGTACGTATCTCTATTCTGATCATGCCGTGGTCTGCGCCAATCCTACTTTACTTTTCAGTGGCCAACGAAGTGACCGCCACCAAAGAATTGATGTCAGCAAGTTGGTTGCAACTTCTGTTGCTATTAAGTATCGAACCGAGCTAGGATCAAGGCTGGATACCATTCCACCGAAAAATATAGATGAGCATTGGTTGAAACTTCACGACGCCATCAAAATCTCAAGTAAAGCCACTTGCAGCTTCGCGAAACGTCCCGCTTATAAGCACTGGGTTTCTTCAGGCTCCTTACAACCCATTGAAGCCCACAAACGACGACTGTTACGTGATGAAATCGAGCAAAGCTTGCTTAAGGACCAAGAAGCCCGGTGGTCGGAGCGTGCTAATAAGTTGGGAGCAGCGGCTGCATCTAGTAACTAGCAGAAGCTCTTCCAACTCATCCGAGCCATTGGCAGCAAGAAGACTGATGTGAGCGAAACAATCTGTGAGGATGACAGAATGCCAATCACCAACATCCATCGACGTCTTATACGATGGGCGGAATTCTTCGATGGGCAGTTCAACTGGCCTGCTGCTCCGGTAACATCGGTCAGACTGTCCAGCCTTCCATGGCCGGTGACGACTTATCCACCAAATGAGGTGGGAGTTCGTAAGGAACTCCGACTCTTGAAGCGCTACAAATCACCGAGATTAATGCACGTATAGTGAAAGCCAATCTGGACCATCTTTGGCGCCTTCGTGATGTCAGTCTGGCTGTAAAAGGTCGGGTCTAAAACGCGTCGGTGAGAGCAGTTTTGCTCTATGCTTGTGAAACCTGGCCTCTCCGAGTTGAAGACGTTAGATGACTCTCCGTGTTTGATCATCGTTGTCTCCGAAGGATTGCTGACATGCACTGTCAACACCATGTTAGCAATGCAGAGGTTCGGCATCGTGTGTTTGGGCGCAGAGACGATAATCCAATTGGTGTCACTATCTTGAAACATCGACTTCGGTGGCTTGGACATGTTCTACGAATGTCGTCCCAGAGAATTCCACGTCGTGCATTATTTGCCGACTCTGGGACTGGTTGGAAGAAGCGGAGAGGTGGTCAGTGCATGACATGATGTCGTGGTATGAAAGAAAGCTGCAAAGGGCTGGCTTGTGTTGGTCCTTCACAACTACCTGGCTGGGCTCCGAGAGATGGTGCAACATAGTGGCTAGAGATGCTATCAGATATGACTCAGAATAGAGGCCAGTGGCGATCCTGCTGTAACCTTCTTTTTTTTCTTCATAAAAAGTAGTTGTTTATTCCTTAACTGAAAGATTTCTTCTGGTTGTACCTTTCTGTTTCCCGCATTTTTATTATTATTACACTTTCTTACACTAATCTGGTCGTTATTGTTCCTCTTCTTTTTTTTTCTTTTACGCTCCTTGCCTTCTTTTTTCTCCCTATTCTCATTGTTTCGTGTGGCGCATATATATTTGGTGCCCCCTTGTATCAATATTTATGTATTCAAATAAATAAATAGGATGGTTATCGCTTTCCCATTCCGTACACAGTGAATGGATACTTCTTTTTTGAGTGACCTATAAAAGACAATGGGTTATGGAGGTCTTGTTCACGTTGGAATGTGACTCCTTAGTCGGAAAGACACTTGGCTAACATCAGTCATGAACGATTTTTTGAATGTTTTATCTTTTTAATTTCCAGATTTCACCTCGAGCACCGGAAATGTGTATGACAAGATTCGGTATAATACTTTTAAGTCCGATCTTTTCTAATCCATCCTGTTGTACAGAGGCAATATCTCTGGAGATACTGAATACCTTCAGAAAATACCCTGCCATCACATCTCGGTACATTTCCTAGCACGACTTAGACCTTAGAAATTAACGTAAAGTACACTGAAAATATCTTTTATAAAATTACTCATTATCATATGGTTGTTTCTGTCTGTCTTTTGAACTTTCATCCTACCAGCAATGATTCATCGCCTTTTAATAGTTTTCTTAAGCCTATCACCATTCAATCTTCTACTGAAAGAATTGCAGTGAAAACCCTAACTGTTAAGTACCAAAATTGTTTTTGTTTTATTATTAAAATAATTTTGTGGGTTAATTTATATCTCGGTTAGTACTGTTACATTGTTTGTATCAGTAGGTTATTCAACTATTTTTTTCTTGCTTAGTTATTTTCTCATAGATTTTTCCAGTTTAAATTATTATTGAACTATGAGTGAAATGTATATATACTTTAATTCTTACTAAATTTCTTACAATTAAATTAAACTTATGTGTAATTGATTGGACCTCATAAGGCCATCTGAGTATTTGTGTGCTCTCCTGTGAAGTGGAAGGTTTTGTTTACGAGCGACTACATGTCAATTTCTTGTTTGTATTGATAATAGATTCTTCATACTAACACCTAATATATTTAAAGTAATCTATAATTATATGATTTAGTCACGATAGGAATCACATCTTAATTCTTCGTTAATACATGGGTAGTATTGTGTGGTACAAAAGTATTTGAGGTGGTTAGAGGTCGCTGACAGGAATCCCTTAACCTAGGTTTCGTGCTGTTCGGTACTCGTTGAAAAGGTGTTCCTGAAATCTTGAGGCAACTGACAATCCTTGACGAATTAGATCCTGTATTTAAGGACGTCAGCATTGAGGTGTTTAAGTCTCAATTCATTGACCAGTAAATAATAACCCACTGAATGCATTAATCTCCTTGCCGAAGAACGCTAAATAGCATAAAACCTATGCTCAGGGTTTTCTATCGGTTATCTCCAACTACCTAATATCTCAGTATAGTACATGCGGTGTTGAGCTATTTATGTTAATGGCCACATTACAAGTTAGTTATTATAATTCGATTAGCACTTGGAAAGAACTGACATACATGATGCTGTTCATTGATCAGTAACCAATCAGTCTAAATGTTTCTAATATATTTGCTGCATTGTACTATTTGTCTAAATATATAATTTTGTTATTCGATAATAGTTCTTGTTAAAACGCTTCACTGTTGTTTGGGATTATTATCATAGAGTATTTAAGAGACTAAGTAGATTAATATCCTTTATTAAGTCAGATGGGAAAATCGACTATACTTTTTACCATATTTTTAATTCTTAGATCACATAGCCTTTTAGTTATTATCCTTTTCGTATTTATTATTCATGAAATTAACGTATAATTGTATTTCACTCTTGAGTAATGAAAAATTCACTTAATTTCATTGACTCTGTCTTTTCACCCTTTTTTTCAAAAAAAATTGAACACATGGGATCTCAGTCATTGGAATTATTGACTAAATTTATTGGCCTTCCTACATCACTTGCTTGCGCACTGAGTTATTATATTCCAGAAAGTTTAAAAGCTTTATCAACTGACGGTAAATTAAATCAAGGTTAGTAATTCAATTATTATTCATTTTAATTGAATGAATTTATTTCATTAATAATTGCATTTATGTATTGAAAAATGAAATATTCATGTAATATTGTTACCATTAGTACAATTACATGTGACTTTAATTTGATTTTAACATCAATGTTTTTATCTTATGACCGAATGTTATTATTTGCATATCCATACATGTCATTCACTTACTAGTAATTGATATGATCCATGTTGATAAGGAATTCTTTGCATAACCTATTTTCACTTTAAATGAGTCCTTATAAAATAGGATATCGGAAAATACTCTCGATTGCTCTTGTAATGGTGATTGAAGAATTTAGTTCTAGATGATACTTTTGACACTTGCTTTTTTTTAAAATGAGCTAGGAATTTTAGTAGGGCGTTGGTTATGCACTTAAAGCACCGGACTTCGAATCATAGATTCAATCTTTCTTCGTTTAATTCTTCTTCTACGACTGGTTTATGTGCGTCGTCTTCACACCTGAATTATGACTCATGGCTATATGCACGACTATTTACTGGGTGAGGTACAGTATAGTTAAAAAGTAGGTTTTTTGCCTTGATCGATTTGTGTCTTTCGCAGTTAGATTTTCAGAGTTCATCATAGACATGTTCCTCAAGTTGTTTGTATTTATGACTGTTCTCTTCCTTCGCTTCTCTTTTTCTCTCTTTAAAGAAATTTCAATGCACAGTTCTTGCATAATTTATCATCTGGTCCTGTTCTATATAACAATGCAAGCATGTTCGGGATGCGATTCTCACCCTCGAAATGTAAAATGTTGCTTCAGGATTGGGTTGCATTGACACCCGAACTAATGATAGGGAGTGAAGTAGTTGAGCGTGTCGATCGATTAACTTATCTGGGAAGTCTCATCAGCCCTTGCGGTCTGGTGTGTGACGAAATCTCAGCACGGATACAGAAGGCTCGACTAGCTTTTACCAACTTGCGTCATTTATGGCGTAGGCGAGATATCCATCTATCAACCAAAGGACGTGTTTACTGCGAAGCAGTTCGTTCCGTCTACCTTATAGCAGTGAAACATGGCCGGTAAGAGTAGAGGATATCCGTAGGTTACTAGTATTCGATCATAGGTGTCTTCGAAACATTTCTCGTATATCCTGGGGCCATCGAGTAAGTAACACAGTTGTTAGGAAACGGGTACTAGGTAAGGATAACAAATCAATTGATGACGTAGTGAAACTTCATCAGTTGAGATGGCTGGGACATGTGTTACGTATGCCCAACGACTGACTGCCTCGACGTGCGATGTTCAGTGGTATAGGAGTAGGTTGGAAGAAAGCTAGTGGCGGCCAGACCAAAACATGGCACAAGTGCATGAAGTCACTGACAAGTGGATTGAGTCATGTTAGTAGGTGTAGACTACCTGGTTGGGGACCGCGAGATGATAGCAACCGATGGTTAGAGACCCTGAATGACATGGCTTTGAATCGACCTCTGCATCTCTATGCTAATGTGGTGTGGCAACTCGAACTGATGTACGTACGTACGAAGTTCTACGTTGTTACTGAGTGACTGACTGTTCTGTATAACTAATATTTACCTACTTTTTAAATTCATTTTATTTCTCAACATAATTTTTGTATAACTCTGTTCCTTGTTGGCTTCGTGGTAATATCTTAAGTTCTTATCATATGGTAATAATAACTTGCTAGTGGGAATGAAGATAAACGGAATACACCCATTATGACATTAAATAAGAAAGAAAGATTAGATAGATAGATTTTTTTATATCGTATTTATTAGATGCTCTTACAAAGATATATGCAACGATAGTACAAGGTCTTCTACTAGATTATGTATATCCTAGTTACTTTCCATTACTCCAGACTTATGTCCTCCGTATGCCTATCTGTCATTTATTCGTTCGAGTTTTATCTCATTTTATTTTGCTTTACATGGGTGTGCAGCGAGCTCAGAAAAAAGGTTGCGTTAAGACTAAGTGGGAAATATGTTTGTTAGTAAATTCTTTGCATATCCCAGTGACCTAATCTAGCTTTATTGGCTGAAACATTCGCCTCTCTGAGTTCTCTGACGCCGTGCAGATCGTTTGGATAACGGTAAGATTAAAAACAGCAAGATCCAAGGATCAAGTCGTATAGTTCACTGTACTGATGTATGGCGTCAGTAAGTTGTTTCCCTCAGATAATTAACGTCTGTAGGTATTCTATCTTCCTACAGCGTATAAAGAGGTTAGGAAAAGAGTGAGCGTAAAATAAACCCACTTCACCTTGCCCCATTGATTTTCGTCCCAAGTAACTCATAAAAAACTCTTCACCAGTGTACATGTGACCAGCCTCAAGTTGCCCCTTGAGCTCTGTGATTACTCTGCCTGGTCATCGAAACCACTATTAACCCAGTTCCTTTACCAGGTACCTCACGAATAAATATCACTGCATGTTGTTGGGATCTGAAAAGTGAAAACCATCTATACACGTTTTACAGCATTTAAGATATCCTTTTTTCGCATCTATTTTAAAATGTAATTCAATTTTAGCGTATTTGTTGTGTTTGATTGAGTTATATAGGAAGTCATTCAACCAGGATTCATGAAATGTGACTTCACCGCAATTACGACAAATGTTTAGACTTACTAGAAATTTAAAACAATCCACCTTGCCAATTAGTGATCGCCAGTTAGATGTTGGCAGTTCAAGAATCGACATCTGAATAATATTCATTCGTTTCACTGCATATTACCAGCCACCTCGATTTCTCTGGTTGTACTTTTGCAACCTGTACAGTGAAAAGTTGTAAGCTTTTCATAAACACGCCTGAATAGGTTATACGATTTATCGACATAATGAAGTGTTAAAACCAACAAAAACAAGTTATTCGTTGAAATATTTAGGTGCCAGGAATAGGTAGCCCAGATACTCAAGGTTTTATTTAATTTTAATGAGCTCTTTCTTGTTTGATGCCTTACTGTTTAAGTGTAACTTACATTGAAGTTATTGAAGTTCACACATCTAGGTACTATTTCTAACCGTTTAATGATTTATAGTTACGGAATATTAAGTTTCATACATAATCTCGAGTTACTATCTGAATGTTGATTGCTATGGGAGCCTTTCAACCCTCATGTAATAAAAAATCGTAGTAGCTAAACTGATTATTCTCACATATTGAACATTTATTTCATTCCACTCTACCAAACAGCTTAGATTTAATTACCTATAGGTTACTTAGTAGTTTTTAAAACTGCAGATTACTTACTCTGATGAGTACTATAAATGATAAAACCCCGATCGTTCCAAATTTCCGATCTAACATACAAATGATGAATTTTATATATAATCAATACTCATTTAATCCATTGTATTCTCTTTTCAGTTAACCGTAATCCTTCTCTCACCTGTCTGTTTGTGTTCATTTTTCCTGTTGCTGTGGTTAAAGTCATTTTTTGTGAATAAATAATTAGATTTTAGTCTATTTTCATTCATTTACTAAAATTATTGATTTTGAGACAAATTGTTAGGGAAATCTCCATGGATTTTTTAGTTTGATTTTATTGATCAGTAAAGATTTAAATTACAATGAATTTTAGTTGTCAACTTTTTGTAATGCCTAGTTCATTTTTATGTCTTATAGAAATAACAACTGATCAATTGCTTACTGAATTATTTTTCTTTTCTAAGAATAAATAACCAATCAGTCTGTTTGTCTGTTTAAATCATGTCGTCTTTTCTTCCATATACAATTATCCAGACGTAATTTAAGAATGTCACGGGTTCGGATAAAGTTTAATGGGATGAAATTAGTTTCAGTGACATTGAATATTCAGTTTTCACGCCTCTATTGTTATAAAGTGATTTATACATTTTATAGGTGCATAAGAGAAAGAATACAACACAAATAAGTCATTATGTTCAATATGATTGCATCACTATGAACCAAGTTTGCAAGTGACTAGTTGTAACTTGATTTCTTCTACTTCACTAATATCTCAGTTGGTTGATTTACAGTTTCATTATTGGCATTTTCGTGTTTTTTAATTGGTTGTTTCGTTTGAATTTAGTAGAGTTCCATTCATTGAGCTACATGGCTTCATTGTGAAGTCTTCATTGTCCCTCTAAACGATGGTTCTGTGCTATCTATATATAAGTAACATATATAACTTTTTTGTCAAAATGGAGTTTGAGTAAAACCACTAAACTATTACCACTACCAATAACTAGAATTTACTACATATAGCTTATGCAAACTGATGATGCACAATTACAGTTTATATTTTATAAAATTCATAACCTAAACTGTTATGTCTGATTTTTGTGGTGTATCGTTATTTATCAGGTAGGTGACTTACTGTATGCCCAATGTCTAACTGGATCAATTATTAGGCCACTCAGAAATATTGCTTTTATTTCTATCCCAGATTCCTTCCCTTTTTTGGCTTCATCCCTCTGTATTTTGCTTCAAAGGTAATTTTAAACTTATGGAAATTAAAGTTATCATACTTTTTATATTTCGTGATTACATGCTAAACCTTTATCAAGTGTTGTAAAGAAATGTGATTTATGGTTGATAACTTAATAGGGTTAAAAAAGATAAGAATTTAAATGATTGATTACTATCCATAACGTTTGTCAATATTCTTCCAAGAACTTAGATACTCGTAATATATTATGATTAGTAACTCACTGTCTCCTTGTCAACACCATTTTCTAATATACTAACTTTAAAAACCCTTACATTTTGTGTTTATATAAATTGATGATACACGTAGAATATGTCCATTTTGTTTTCTGGGAAAAAGCGTTAATCAATCATATTGTAAAAACACCTCAAAAAAGCTACATCTTTAAATTGAGGTGTTATCACTTTTTACAATTATTGAGTGTTTTTTCATGAAACAAACAAGACCCGTGTCTTGTACCTGATGTGACGGGGCAACAATAAGTCTGATAGTTAAGTAATCATTCCATTTTTCCGAATGAATGACCTGTATTTTGTATATTCTCCAATCATTTATTAGTTTAAGGACTTTTAACTTTGTTTACTCTTATGTTCACCATTTTGCAAACATCTTAGTTTACTAAAAAAGCGTGGTCTACCGATTAGCATTCTCTTCTTTGGTCTCAAAGCATTTGGAGTCTTACGTCGATATTTCGGTCTTGCGATCAACTATTAATTGGCCACTTCATATTTTAGTATACTATAAATCGATTAACGATGAACTTATCCAGATAACAGTCGATAAACCAGCCCGTAAAATCTTCCTTTAAGTATTGTTTTGTATTATATCGTTCTCAGTTTCAACACAACGTTTTATCATCACTTATCGAGTCATAAAGAATATAGAAAGTTTATTGATCCACGTTGATATTCCCCCTAGTAAGACTGTGAAAATGTAAATTAAATAATTGGGAACAATTTCTAGTTGTTTCTTTTAAAGGGAGAAACATGATAAAATTGTTTTGACTAATCATATATATTATAATTTTCAATCTTTACGTAATTTATACACCTTGTTGTTTGATTTGCATTATTTTACGTTGGATTAGTTGTATTTCATAGTTTTTGGTGGATGCGACTTGTACAGAACAGTTTATCTTGTGCAGTAGAAATTAAATCATTAAATTATTGATTACATACAACTAATTTTGTGCCCTTAATGGTGTGTTACTTGACATTGCACTACCTGCCTATCAGTCATAAGATTAGTGTGATAATAAATTTTGTCTAAATCTCGTAAAAACTACCTATCTTTTTCTGATGTCCCCAAATATTCAAACTTCGAACAAATCACATCGAGATACATTTTACTATGTTGTTTCAAGTATAAATAATGTGATTGAATCCTGACAATCATTTATTGTGTGGCGCTATTTGTGTATGAATTGTTTGTACTGTTTTTGACATGTACAATACATTACCATTTAGTAGTTCGATAATATACATTGATGTGTCTTTAAAATTGATTTTAAATTAATCTTTCTCTCGGAAAATATTGGAATCCTCGATGTCACATTTCATTGAGTATCAGTTTGAACTATTCGGCGTTAATGTTCTTGCAATGTTGTCCTGAATGACCCAGATTCTTATTCTTAAATCTCTTGGAAAGGTAATTTATGGAGCTTTCCGGACAACTAAGGGGGAAAATGCTTATTTTTAAATCTTATGGTTTGTACTCAAACATTTAACTGCCTCTATGAATAGGTCCTCAATATTTCTTTTGTTTTAGCTATTTGACTTCTATTTAGTTATTTGTTCTTCACTTTGACACAAGTTTTAGATGATATTATTTAAGCCTCCGAATCTAAAGGTCTTTGGTTCAGTCCTCAAGCATGTTTATTGAACCTAGTGTTACGAAGTTAGAAACTGCGACAAACTAACTTCCTGGTTAATCTATAAATACTGTTGCCGAACAATTACCATATGTTAAATTTTTAAAACGCGTTTTGATCCTTCGTTTGTATTTGTCTGAAACAGATTTAATAAATACTTTGTTTTGTATACATCTAATTTCATATTTTCTCCTTTGACTTACACCAAATTATGTGCCGTATATTCAGTTCATGGTAATAATAATCTAATTGTTCCAAGTTTTTTATTTCTCATCTTACTGATATAAGTTTGTGTTTGTAGATAAATAATTTATATAGTTGGAGAACTGTAAAATGTTTTTAATATATCAACTAATTTATATCCTGTCACGGTAATATTGTGCAGAAATGTAATGAGAAGTGTAAGAGTTCTAAGTATGAAGCGATCATATAAACAATGAGCTTTATGTTATGTGTGAGAATAATTCATATAGACATCTTATGCGAACTCTTTGCAATCACTTTTTGAAGCATATTTTGTATAGTGTACAGTTTAAACCATCTTCAGGTAACATTGCTCAGCTTATTTATTCTGAATGTCCTTATTTATACTGAATGGCCTTCAAGTTTCTTTTCAGGTCAAATAAAATTTTACTTTCTTTCCAAATTTCTCGGTTACTTTTCTTCATCTGTGTATAAATGTGTTTTAAATTCATCACTGTAACTACTGTGCCAGGTATTTTCGTTCCAGTATAAGTTTAATAAATTCAAAGACTGATTGGTTAAGTAATTTCCAAGTTGTGGTAATTAATAGTCCATTTAAATTTTAAAAATAGACCTACTTTGTTGGACAGTTATAATCAGATAGATTCCTCATAAATGATGGAGATTTGTAGCTTAGGTGAAAACTTTTGTTTGTATTGTATTTTCTGTGCTGGATGAATTGATTTAGGAGTTTTCCATTTCTCTCGCTTTCTAAATGATGTCCTAGTTTCCCTGGTTCAATTTATTAAAGGAGTGAAATGGTGTTTATTTCGTTCACCATATATTTCCACAATTTAAAGCTCCTTATTTATTGAACATAACTAAATTAGTAATATTTCTATTCTGCACTACATTACTCCCATACTAAGTGTTTCAATCGTCCTTTATTGTGTAATGATCATTTAAAAAAATATTTATGCTATATATGATTAAATAAGAACTTTCGTCTAAATTTAAACGAATAGTTTCACAATATTTGGGCGCCGAGTCCATTTGAGACATTAAAAGCTTGGACCAGATTGCCAGGCGAAACGTTGGATTTACTTAAAATTCATTCGCTGAGATTTTACAAATATATTCTTCTTTTTAATGGCTATATATGATTGTTTATATTCCATAATCTGGCAGCATATCAATGTGTTACTATCTCGATAAATTGCTTTATACTTCTAATAATTGTTTGGTTCTTATTTGGACGCTGAAAATCTTTTTAATCTTCTGTTCATATTAACTACTTCATATTACATATATGCACATACATTTAATCAATATTTGTGTTGCATTTTTTTCTCATACCTTAAAAAAGGTATGAAAATCTTTGGTATACATCATTATTGTTAAATAATTGTGAATTTGAGATATTGTATGTGAATTACACATTTCAGTTTATTGGAAATTCATTATCTGAACCACTATTTCAAAATCTCTTTTTGATCAATGAATTATCTATTTTTCTTCGAAATTGTATTGTTTCTGTGAGGTTATTCCTATCCGTTATATGTAATATATAAGTGCAATTGTGCTTAATTTGCAGTTAGTAAAGGGTAATCTTTTAGATTTTCCGCTTGTTAATCATAACAAAGAGACAACCCCTATAAATGTATAGATGAGTATTTTAAATTTTATTGTGCTAGTGATCTGCAATGTCGATGTAATCAGGAGTGTGCAACGCATGATTTATCACTGAGATTGAATGACGGTTATTTAGTAACAAATCGACTGGAGTTTAAATCATGAACTATTGGATGTCAGGTCTATCGTTTAAACCTATCGTGGTGCATGATATATAAAAATCTTAACTTGAAACCCATTATCTTCTGAGTTCCATTTGATTTTTTAAAATTATTTTCCAGCAATGAAAAACCTTTTTAACATCATACAAAATCCCATAAAGTAGTCGATTAAATATTTTGTTTTTTTTGGTATTTTTCATCTGTTCAATTTATTGAACTAGTCATTTTTGTTCAAATGTTTGACTTATGCACCGTGGTTCTTTTCGCGGATAGTGAATTAAAATGATCTTAACACCGAATTAAGTACTCCGACATTTAATGTATATATTATATTTTACATCACTAATCCTCTGTTTTTTTTCTATTTCCACTGGTTTATTCAAATTCATTCACCATTTGACACAAACTTTTACCAATACACATGGATGTATCTGACCTTGTACTTCAAAAATATAAAACTATACAGAACCTGTCTAAATCACAGTTATATCATAAGATGCAAATTATTGTATATGAGTAACAAAAGATTTGAAATATAGACTAATTTTTTGATTGCAAATAATGAATATATACACTTGGCATTTCTTTGCTATCAATCAATTACATGATATGTATATGTCGTAGGCCTAAACTCTTCATGTAAAATTTATGTGCTAAACGGAGTAGTCGGTTGGAATTTTACAACGTAACACTTCATGCATCATTAAGTTACACAGTCTATATATTTTGTAGCTATTTCATGATTGGGAGCTGTTACTTTGTAGTTAATTAAATTTTCTCAATTAATTGTCCATTTTACTAAGTTTTTGGATTTTGTATTTTAAAAAAAATTTATAGTTTTATTTTCCCGGAAAGTTTCAACATTGAACGTTAATGGTTAATTATTGTTCATTCAATTAAGTCAACAAATTTATTTTTAATAATAATTTAATTTTCTAACCTCCAACCTTTTAATTCCTTTGTAATAATCAATCTCATGTAATAAATAGTTCCTATATAATTGCAATTATTGTTTTTTTTTCTCTACTTTTTCAAATTTATTCCTTCACACCATTGACCTTTTTCGTTTGTGATTCCCATTGCATAAATCAATTATGTTTTTATTTATTTCTTTGTTCTTAAATCTATCAATCAGCTGATATAAATGAGGCAAAACACCAAACCAATAATTAGAAGTATTGAGTATTTGTGTGTGTGTGTGTATATATATATGTGTGTAAACATACACACATTTAGTTGCGTGTATATGTACAATTGTGTTTCATAATTATTGAATTTTTTTTGAACGTCAAAACATGTTGATTCATGATATTTATTTATTCATATTTTCTTGAGTATTTATTTATTTCCTCATTAACATGATTGTATTTTCTATATGTTTATCTCTTTTAATTAAGTTTACTTAGATCATTATTTATCATTGCTCAATTTATTGGAAACAAATACACTTAATATTGATACAATCAATTCTAATTTTCAACATGATCTATTCAAAGATGATATTGAAAATGTTCAATATATTCATAATTTAATTCAACAATTATTTAAAACAAATGAATTATTGGATGAATTCAATGCATTATTTACATCTATTACACAATTATTAAATCTTTATCTTAAAAAATCTTCAAATGAAAGAATTGGATTTGAAAAATATGATGATTTATGTCTTGTGATTAATATTTATCAATTGATTTATAACATATCTACTAATACTATTGTTACTAATAGTAGTCATTGTTATCATTCTAATTCAACTATCATCTCATCTAGTACTGGTGTCAACGTTGCTATTACTACTAGTGGATTAACATTAACAACAAATCCTATTCAAAGTGATATTGTACAATCAAATTATAATTCAAAAATACAAAACGGTTAGTGAAGTAATTTATGTTCCTTTCTTGTTAAATATAATAATAATGATTATTATTGGTTGAATCTCATGTGATTGTAGCATAAGGCTTCGCTGTACTTTTTTAAAATGTTCTTGATAAACAGAGATGAATGGTTACTAGCAACGGAATTCAGGACGTGCGTTTCGTACTATTTGAGACTCAGCTGGATGTGTCTGAATCTTAGAGTCGATGTGTCTATCAGGATTTCGTAGTTAAGTAGATAATGCGATAGCATTTGGAGCGAAGGGTACTAGGTTCGAGTCCTAGAGTGATCATTAACTCTGGGCTGAAGCCGATAAGTCCTAAATAGGATGAAACGCTTGTTCTGGGTCCCACTGCTAACCACCATCCATCTCTGCTTATAATGCTTGTGACTTGGAATAATGTCGAGGCAATCCCCACAGGATGCATATATATCAATGAGAGACTAATAAATTTAAGTTCTAAACACCAATAGGAAGATTCAAACATACAAAATGCAACAAATTCTTGATAAGGATTTTTGAATGTGTTCGTTAAATGGAATGTTTTTTTTTCGAAAATAGTTTTAGTTTTATTACAAGTTAAAATCAAACTGATGTGGCGATAAATCCTTTTCGTCCATTGTCAACTATTCAACATTTTGACTTAGAGGTCTTCTGTTACCTAACTTTAAAATACATGAACTCTGTGTTCTGTGTAAATCACATGGTTTTTCACGCTCATATTTTCGTGCGTCCATGGAAAACTACTGAATTTTGTTGAGTGATTCAATAAAATTGTTCCACTCGTATAATCAGTAAAATTCTGATATGTATGAGCTCAATTATTTTGTTCAGCGAACTTTATTATTATCAACATTCCAAGATTATTTGAACAATGATATTATGTATAGAATTTTTTTGTCTCTCTTGCAAAGACCTTTCTGTTTTCTCGTTCACTACACGCTTAGCTGAGAATTGTTGAAATGTTGCAGTATTACTGTTGCTCTGTTATCCAATAATTATATTAGCTCAGCACTTGTTTAAACACAAATACTGATTTTGTATAACTACTATCACAGCGGTCATATTACTCGCATTCAGATTTGTATTTTCTAGTAAGAAAGGTTGACAACTAAATGAACTGGAGTGAAAAGCTAACAGAAAGTAATAAAATGAGTGCACCAAGAGTGTTTTTCGTGTGTAATGAATCCAAGCTTCTGATGTTCTTTAGATTCTAAACTGCAAACTATAGATTTTAACCAGATAGCATTTACTTGAACATATGAGTTGTTAAATAAATGAATGGTTTGTAAATAATCACTATACGTTTATATAATAATCGGTTTGATGTCTCTTGATTCTAATTTTGATTCTAGGTAAAGTGATACGCTTAGCCTAATCGAACATCCCTGTAATCTAATGTTTTCTGACAGTTGTTTTTTATCAGCAAACGTTAGTTTATGTTGAGCATCTGTAAAAACTGTAAAAGTTAATCATAAAAAATGATTTAAACTCTACATTGAAATTAATACTTCTTGATGCGTTCAATGGTATGAGCTTCGCGCCAACTATGCATAGAGTAGTTCTAGAAAATTGGCAATAACTTGTGTTGTCCGTATATACACCTCTTATAAAACTTGAAAATAACTAGGAAGTTCATGCACATTTATACTCTTGTTACAGTGACATGTAAGTAATAGTGTTGTACATCATTATATTTTCGCCGTAGTTAGAAATATAATTCAGTCTGTAACTGTCACGAACTCAGGATAATTTCTACACATCAAATCCTCTCTCACACTTATTAATACTGACACTATATGAAGAAATCTCAGTTTGATAAGAGGTTATTAATAAATATTCATTTCTCCAGTGAACTTCGGATACCGAGGTAATATATATATATATATATATATATATATATATATATATATATATATATATATTACAGAGCTTCCCTTTCATATAAATCATTAACCACACTAAATGTAAAAACATTATAGTAAATTTCATTGGTACAACTATTTTATTTCTTGTCGATAAATACGGGTCGATATAACAAGAAATAGGTATTAGACAAAAAGATACCTTCTTTCCACGCACTCAATATTCCTCTTGATTAATAATAACATTATATATATATATATATAATATATTCAGCATGACTAAAATTTTGCAACCGAAAAAATCAAGCCATTCATCTAACAAAACACGATAAACCATTTGCTTTGTTAATCACTGCTAAAAATAAGAATCTATTCATCAGTCGATAAATTGAATGATATCAAGAAATATAAAGTAGATTGGGTGTCAAAATATGTACATGTATGAGGGGAGGTTGTTTACATAACGATGTCTATGAATTATCTGTGAAAATAACAAGATGATCTTCTACTTACACTTATTTAAAATATTCAGCAATCCGGTTATAAACAGTTGTACCTATTCATAGTTTAAATCACGAATTTATTTATTTATTTGAACACAAACCTTGATATAAGGAGGCACCAAATATATACGCGCCACACTTCATTCGATTTGTGTGAGGGCTGAAATTCTATCCGGACACCCAAACCGGATCGAGTGGTTCTCTTAGGCGAATACTGCCCGAGCCTTTGACCTAGAGGTCTAATCCACAAGGCAGTGGAGCAACGTTAGGAGATGTAGTCCCATGGTAGCCGTTAACTAACAATAACTTCATACTCCATTTGCTCCCTCGCGATCGTGAAGTCCATTTGCTCCGTTGGTTTAGAATCAGGGTTTTCCAACTCTCCTAGATGGACCCTCCATATCCGCCGACCTGGTTAAAGTGCCGGACATTCACTTTTGTTCCTCTCAATTTCGTAAATAACACCCCTGTCACGAGAACGCAATGAGTAGGACTTCCTTGACAGTGTCTGTATATGCGTGGCCATGTGAGAGGATTTCCAGAAAGGTGCCTCTCCGACCCTTGACCGTACTAGGGCGATCGTGAGCTTATCTCCGGTAGACTACCATTGAAATCCTGCACACACTGGATAGCCCTCTCGTCCTTGTGCGGCATTTCTCAACAGCACATACCAACGAATCGGATTCTGAGAATTGAACAAATAGCTTCTGGTCTCGCGCGAACGCTTAACGTCAAGATCATTAAGCCGTTATCTAACGGTATTAATGTCCAATTTCAATCAATCGGCAATACTGTATGACCTTTATCTATCATCTCTGTCTGTTATAATAAAAATTTATTTATTCTGAAAACAATAATTACATAATTCACGTCAGTTTACATGCATGATCAATTTGATATAAATAGTAACATTAGATGTACAAAACAAACATGTGATAAAAGAAAGTTTTAAGTATACTAATTCAGTAGTTGTTTAAGTAGTACATGTATTACAGCGATCCAATGCATCAGCCGGGAGTTTTTAATATTTCTTAAATGGACAGCCTGTTGATTTATGAATGGAGTAATTAAGGTCATTTCGTGTGCCAGATCGGATTAATGATAATTATCCACAACTAGAGAAATTAAAACGAAAACAGAGCACGGAACAACAAAGCAGTAATTACCAAAATATGTCAATCAGGTCTACCAAAATGCGTGTGTCATGTGACACAGTGATATACTGTTGATGTTATTCAAATTAGTTAAACTTGCTGGGGACGGTGTTAACATAAAGTGACAGCAAGTAGGTGGTTTTACTTAGGGAATGCACTAATAAAAATGGCTAAACATTTAAAGTTCCAATAATATCACTTGTGGAGTGAGATACACTTACAGGTGCTAGAGCATTCAATGCATTTTCAGAGGAGCAGTATGCATCGATGCAGCGAACAAATAATGGGAGTGATTCTATCGTACGGATAGATTGTGGTAGGTCATTCCAGAGTCTAGAAAATTTACAGGTAATGCCATTCATATAAAGAGATGATTTAGGATAAGTTTTTTTCACTAGTGTCAAGGAATTACGTATGTCACAATGAGAAGTTTCTGCATATTGAATCACGTGATTGGATGTAAAGGATAGTTTATTAAGTAGTTTGAAGAAAAAGATAAGATTAAGTTTGAGTCACCTCTTCCATAAAGGGTCTAGCCCAAGTTTATTACATCTACAATTATAAGTTAAGGTACAATCAGCTCCAAGAATACGAAGTGTAAATCGTCTCTGTACTGATTCTAGCCTTAATTTATCCTTTATGCGCGCACTGCTAAGGATAAACGTGCAATATTCTACAAGTGGTCGAACACAAACCTTGTACATTAAAATACGTGACCCATTGTTATGAAGGTTTCGAGTTATGTAACCTACAAGACGTTGAGACTTAGAGGTCTGTTTCAATATCTGTTCTGTAAACGACAAGTCTTGGGAGTACCTAAGTCTACTACTGTATGAAACCTAGATAACACTTCTCCATTTATGGTAAGGTCTAGGTTGAGTGATGTATCGCCGAAGCATATCCATCCACATTTATCCGTATTGAGCTCCAGTTGTCGTTTCAAGCACCACTGTGCTACCTTGTTAAGCTACATGCTGATGCAATTTTGCATATTTTCAGCTCATGTGGAGAAAATGAATATACTACTTTAAGATCATCTACATATAGAAGAGGCTTACCCACACAAAAACTTTCACAAATATCATTGATAAACACCAAAAAGAACCTTGTATTAAACCACTTCTAACAAGGAGAGCGTTAGACATAGAAGAGTTAATTTTAACCACTTGATATCGATTGCTGTAATACATGTACTACTTAAACAACTACTGAACTAATATACTTAAAACATTCTTCTATCACATGTTTGTTCTCTACATCTAATGTTACTATTTATATCAAATTGATCATCCCTGTAAACTGACGTGAATTGTGTAATTATTATTTCCAGAATACATTTATTATTATTATTATTATTATTATTATGTTAATGGTTGCCGAGACGTCATCATTACATGACTTACAACTACCGGTACTCCAGGTAATCCCAGGATAATTGAAATTCTCAGTGATAACCTGAGCATCAAAGTTTAG